GCAAGCCTGTCTGCTGCACACCCATCTGCTCTGGATCCTCCTGCTGCTGCCAACAGTCTAGCTGCCAGCCCTCATGCTGTCAATCCTCCTGCTGTGTGCCTGTCTGCTGCAAGCCTGTCTGCTGCACACCCATCTGCTCTGGATCCTCCTCCTGCTGCCAGCAGTCTAGCTGCCAGCCCTCATGCTGCCAATCCTCCTGCTGTGTGCCTATCTGCTGCAAGCCTGTCTGCTGCAAGCCCTGCTCCAGCGTGTCCCTGCTCTGCCGCCCTGTGTGCAGACCTGCCTGCTGTGTTCCCAGCTCCTCCTGCTGTGCCTCCTCCTGCCAGCCCAGCTGCTGCAAGCCCTGCTCCAGTATGTCCCTGCTCTGCCGCCCTGCCTGCTCCAGCCAGGCCTGCTGTGGCCTCTGCTCTGGCCAGAAGTCCAGCTGCTGCTAATCTGTCCCCCCATGGAGAGCATTTCCTGCATCTTCAATGAGTGCCAAGAAACCAGAGCTCACAGAAGAATGCCCATACTGCTGTTCTATGCACCAGGGCAGATCATGTAGTGGCCTCCTCTCTCTGCCTCTGCCCTTTCTGGGCCAACCAATCTCCCCTCATTATGACTGTTCCTTTTCTGAATATGCTAGGCCTTCTGAGCAATAAAAACCCTGACTGAACCTGTGTAGACTCCCATGGCCCTCCTTGGCGTCACATGGTTCCTCCTTGGCATCCGCTGTCTGCTGTGCTTTGGAGCCTCTCTGTGCTAGTTCAGGGGACAGTTCCCTCTGTCCACCTTGCTATGTAACGGCTCCTCCTCTGTATGGTGGCAATCAAACCTGAACAGTACTCCCATGCCCCGTGCTTCCCAGGGTAGCTCAGGTGCCTCCTCCCTGAGTGTTTGCCAAGTGCTACCCCAGCTGGCCTGTCGTCTGCCACTGTCTCCTGTTCAGTGGTGCCAGTATGTGCTAGCAACTGGAATCAGGTCTGGGCCATTGGCTTTGTGAGCAGACATGTCCCTACTTCTAGACGTCGCTTGGCTCTAAATGAAGAGACCTCCAGTGTGTGGTAGGACACAGGCTGTGATTGGAGAGTAAGCTCACTGGGATGGAGCACACTGGGATGGAACACACTGAGAACACACTGCAATGGAACACACAGGCCAGGCACAGTGAAAAGTCTACTATGGTTTTACTTACCTACAATCTTGTTTCAGATGAGGATGTGTTGGCATGCCAGGATGGTCCTGACTCTACACCAGTGACCATCCAGTGAACTCAGCTTGCAGAGGGTGAGAGTGGGAAGCAATGTCCCATGTTGAAGTTCTAGTTCTGGGATAGGCAGATATCTTGGCAGTAGGTGTCCATGTGCCTGGTACCAGCCACAAGCTCAGTGTGTGGCTCCCAGCTTGGGACCAGATTAAAAATAGCTACTAAACCTGTTCTATGGGAAATACCCCTGCCTTCCCTGTCACTGAGGAGAGAACACCACCCCAGTCCAAGTGCTAATAAGTTTGTTGAAGGCTACACAAGGATGAAGAAATTGCTATAGACATGGGGGGACACTGTCCCACCCTGGCAGGTCACCTCCTCAGACAGCCACTGCCCGAGGCCCAAGAGCGTGGAGACTGGCTCTCACGGAGTGAAACTTTCTCTTCAGTGAGGTTACTGTCTAGAGTCCCAGTCGGTCAGCAGCAGCACAGAGGACAGTGCCTGGTGTGGCTGTGGTCCCTATAGGCCTGAGCTCTGCCTACACTCCGGCAGGCAGCAGTCTACAGTGGTAGCATGGAGAGAGATCTGCCATCCAAAGTCTTGGCAAGCTTGGCAGAATGGCAGTGGTTTCGACTCTTTCCTTCCACACATGAGGTTAGTTGCCTTCCCCACTTTATGCTCTTCTCCTGACCACAGGCTAGCCCACTATGGACTGACACTTTCAAAACCATGAACCCAAAGAGACCATTGATCCCACAGGAAGGGAACGCTGATCAGTCCACATCGTCTCTGTACAGCCTTGGCTCCAGACCACAGTACAGGGCTGACTCCCGGTGCAGGTGACTTTCTCATGCTGGAAAGATGGATACCAGAGCTCAGGGGGCTCTAGATGGATGGACATGGTGGCTGAAGTGCAGGAGAGTGGGGGCTGGATGCACTGTGGGGTGCTCCATGTCCTGCAGATGGGCAGGGACACATGGGCACCGTGAATGAGAGCAGTTGCCCAGGCTCACCACCGGCTGTAGACAGTCAGAGCAGAGGGCCTCTCCCAGGACTGAAAGCGTTAGATCTACTTGGAAGAGCAGCTCACCCTAGTTGTGGTGTTGGCCTTGCCCTCAAGCACAAGTTCTGTGGGTCAACCCCACCAGAATGTCACCAACAGGGACCCATGAGAAGAGAGAGCTGGCTCACAGGAGTGTGTCCCCAGGAAGAAGACAACCCTTCAGTGGGGCGAGGGGGAGCCCATGAAACAGAGCCGCATGCTCAGATCACGTTGGGAAATAATCTAGAGAAGAGGCCAGCACAGCCCGGGATGGAAGTGGCAGAACCAGTGTGATTAGCGGAGAGTAAAATCATGGCATTAATGATGCGGGAGGACCAGATCAAAAGCCGGGGTGTGGTGAGGGAGGTTGAAACAAAACAGACACCAAGAGTTGAAAACCGGAAGAGCAGCAAGAAAAACTCGAAATAATAGGAAAAGAACCTGCAAATGACGTTCTCCAAAGAAAAGGATGTCGAGGAACATCTAAAGGAGTGTCTAAAGGCGTCCGCAGAGTCAGAGTCACGGGCAAGGCAGAGCGGGAGTCGTGGGCACAGTACTGAGCAGCCTGACTCATAGGAAACTGTAGTATGAGGGGAAAGGCTGGGCCTGGAAGGGGAGCAAAGAGAAAGTGCCACCCAGTTTTCCAAATGTGAAATCACATCGATGAGAACACAGAAAGCTGGAAGCACTTCCAGACACCCACCTGTCAACTGGCATCTAAGAAACATCCCGTCCGACCACAGCGGGAAGCTTCGTTTAAGCAAATGTGAACACACACCAAAATAAGCCACCTTCTCAGCCCTGTGAGCCATAACACATCACAAGGACTGAAATCTAGACTGTGTCCAGCCCTCAGCAGAGCGAGGAGTCGCCCACAGTAAGGCTGGAAGACTGCGAACATGCGAAAATTAGAGAGAGTGTGTAAAAGTATGTAAAAGTAGTCCATGGACCAAAGATAGAAATCACCATGGGAATTAGAGTGTATTTTCATCAAAACGAAATTGAAATCAAGCCAACACAACACTTAGGGAGCGGTGCTCTGTGATTCTTCTTGGTAAACAAGAGAGGCCTGGAGTCTGTGCTTTGACTCAGACCTAGAGATGGGGTACAAGCGAAGCCCCAAATAACTAGTTACATGCAGGCCATGAGCAGTGGGAGCAGACAGCTCCAGGAGGAAACAGCCAAGACCAGGCTCTTGCATTTTGGGACAGCAAAATGGACATTTCTAGCTAGATTTACTGGTCAAGAAAGAGGAAGAAGTAAATGACCCATATTAGGAATGGGAAGAGTCGTCACCCCAGAGTCTGTGGACATTAAAGGGACGATGCAGAAGGCGATGGCCTCACACAGACCCAGCCAGTAGTGTAAAGGAAACAACCAAGAATTGGAAAGGGAGACCGTGAAATTAACATGAGAAAAATAAAAGGTCAGAGCAGCCCTGGAGCAAGCAAAGGGATTAAAGTCTTAACTAAAAACACATTACAAAGCAAACTCTGATTCTAAGAGGCCTCCCAGTCAGATTCTCATCCTTTCTGGGAGAAATGGCATCAATCTCACTGTGCATGAGAACATGAGAGGATCACACACACACACACACACACACACACACACACACACAGCGCTCACTTCATTATTTCCAGATAATTGCAGTCAAGTGTAGGAGCTCATGGGGTATGATGGTACATTGCCTTCTCACCCAAGTGTAGCATGAATAATAAAAACTCAGAGACAAATATTAAACCTGAAGATCAGGAAAGCAAAGCAAAGCAGCCAGCCACTGGCTCTTAACCTCGACCTCAGACTGAAATGACGACCCTGCCTCCACAAATCCTCAGAATGAGACAGTGTGTGAGAGCTGTCTCATATTCCTCTCTAGTGCTGGGATTAAAGGCGTGCACCACTACTGCCCAGGCGTCTATGGCAAACTAGTGAGCTACTGGGATTAAAGATGTGTGCCACCACTGCCTGATCTGTATGGTATATACTACGTTCATGAACCCAAAGGCACAATGTTAAATGTCTGATCCTCTCCAAGCGATCTGTGGGTTTAATGAAATCTCAGTCAAGATCCTGGCAGGCTTTACTGTCAAATTTGATGGGCTGGTTTTAAAACCTCTGGGGTGCATAGGTGACCCAGCATGGCCAACCAAACCTGAAAAACACAAAGAGTATCAGAAAACTTCCATTCTTTGACTCCAAGTCTACTGAGCTGTTGTTGTGTGAGGCGCAACAGAAAACGGCAGACTGACTGGAATCCAGCAGTATCCTGCCCTAGTCTGCTCAGCATGGTGCTGATTGAAGAGACCCAATGGACAAAGGGAAGTATCTACAAGGAGTTGTAACAATTTGGGACATCAAAAACTGACACAGAATGTTACAAAATGAAACATGAGGGGTCTAGCCAAGCTCCTCACTGCGAGGAAACTCCTGTGGGGGGCGGGGTGAGGGCGGGGCAGGGGGAGCCACTAGAAGAAAGCCAGGCTTATCCTGGCTCACTGCTCAAAGGTAAGGAAGTCATGGTGGGTGGGAGCACGGCTCTGTTCCTTCTGTAGTCCAACCAGGAAGCCAAGAGCTTGGACTGGGAGCTGGAGGGACTGGAAGCCTTAAAGAGCTATACTTCTGTCCCTCTCTTACTGTGCCTCAACCCCAAATATTCTGCAACCTCCCAAAACAGCACCTCAGGCCAGGGACTGAGTGTTCAAACATACAAGCCCTGAGGGCGTTTCATACTCAACCCTCAGCAGGAGCCTAGAATGAGTCTGTGTTGTTCTGAGTTTAAGGACCACTTATCAGGCAGGGTCACCAAAGACAAAGGGTAAAGTGGGCTTTGCTGGAATAAGAATTAGGCTCAACACTGAAGAGACACCCCTGAGGAGAAGGTGTGCAGTATTTATGTTAATACTGTGTTTGGCATCCAGAAGTCATAAAGAGCATGCACTTTAATAATACAAATATAAACAATCTGATCTAAGAAAAATCAGGAGGCAGGAGGATTAGAGCTGGCAGGTCACCAAAGCCACACAAGATACCCCACATTGTCAGTCACTAGGGCCATGCCAGTGACGTGGTACCTTCAGGGTCTCACCACAGAAAGTCAATGTAGGCATGTGTTGGCATTGTGTAGAGGTGATGCTAATCCCTTAGGGAGAACCGCGGCTTGGATGTGCCATATCCCCACAGGCGCCAGCGTTTGAGGTTGTAGAACC